AATCCACAGTAACAGCGTGCAGTGGGCTGACGGCCACCACAGGGGCACAGCAGCGTGTCAGGGGCTTCCCGGACAGCAAGCCTGAGCTGAACGCTGCCCCGTGAAACGAGGAAGCCAGAACTGTAAACAGGTGGTGGAGTCCACACGAGGCACGGGGGCAGGCAAAGCAGGGTGCTTGGGATCCCGTGTAATTCAATGAGGCTGCAGTGAGGTGAGTACGTGGGACAGAGGATAAGGAGGCAGGCGGCCAGGAACATCACGAGCCCTCCTGTTGGTGGAGTCTCAGGTACTGCAGACCCGTTATGGAAAAGGGGAGAACACAAACAAGCAAACAACAAACCCCTGAATCCCAAGTCTCCAAGCACGGATCACATCCAAAGTCCTGGGCAAAAGCCCAAACCTGCTCATCAGAATTTCTGGTTTTAACACAACAGCAAGCTTATTCGTTACATGACACACGTTACTCTCATTACTCAAGGGTTCTTTAGAGACAAACACTTGAGCTAGTTGTTGGCATCAAGTTTTATTTGAAACACTAACAGGCACGGCTCATTTTTAAGCCACAGCTCGAGCACGGTGTGCCATGAACAGGGCAGACGAGATCGCTGTTCTGGGCCTCCCGGAAGCCCCAGTGGCGCAGTGCTTAAAGAGCTTGGCTGCTCACCAGAAGGTCTGCAGTTCAAATCCACCAGTGGCTTCTTGGCAACTCTGTGGTGGAGTTCTACTCTGTCCTAGATGGTCGCTACGAGTGGGAATCGACTCGACGACAAGGGGTTTGGGTTTTGGTTTAGCAGGGAAATGGAGGCCTGGTGGTGCCGTGGTTAAGAGCTTGGCTGCTAACCAAAAGGTCAGCAGTTTGAATCCACCAGTAGCTCCTTGGAAACCCTACGGGGCAGTTCTACTCTGTCCTATCGCATCGTTATGGGTCGGAATCAACCGGACAGCAACGGGTTAGTAGAGAAATAGACTTCCAACAGCCTCGTGTAAGACTCACTGCCTAAAAGATCCAGAAACTAACAGATGAAATGTGTGCAGAACACAGTGTTGAACAAAGAACAAGAACTCAGTAAAATGCTGTTGGAAGCACCAATGTCCCAAATTTCTGCATAGATCTTTTGTAAGTTAATAAAGAGCTTATCAACAACACCTAGTACCACAAATTCTAAAGTCAATAGAGGCAGTTATAAAAAACCAGTTGTCGTCAAGTAGACTTCAACTCATGGTGGCCCCATGTGTGGTAGGGTAGAACTGTGCTCCACAGGGTCTTCAATGGTTGATTTTTCGGAAGCAGATCATTAGGCATTTCCCCCAAGGCACCTCTGGGTGGACTCAAACCACCAACCTTTCAGTTAACAGCTGAGCATGTTAACTGTTTGTCACCCAGGGACTCTAGCGGCAATTAAAAATCCTTTAAAATATTTTTCACTGTTTGAACTATGGAAGCTTTATGGCACTAAATCAGGAAACAGTGCCCCTTTTGGAAAAGCAAGCTGACATTTACTAAGATGTGAATGATAAATATTTGTTAAATAGTAAGTTTATTTCAAAGAACTTATGATATAAAAACTTGAAACAAGTGTGCAAAGATGAACACAGAATGAGGATGTTCACCTAGATGTTTCTTTTTTAGTGAAATATTGGAAACACCCCAATTAATAAAGTAACACACAAACCAGACCAAACCCATTGCCACAGAGTTGACTCCGACTCACAGTGACCCTACAAGACAGAGCAGAACTGCCCCATAGGGTTTCCAGGAAGTGGCTGGTGGATTCGAACTGCCGACCTTTTGGTTAGCAGCCGAGCTCTTTGCCACTGCGCCGCCAGGGCTGCATGTAGTACCCCTTAATTATCCCCAGTACCTTTCCAGGCAAGGCTATACAGAGCTCCTGACTGCTTTTTACGGGGAAAAGGTAACTCACAGAACAGCACATGTAGTATAGGACCCACTATTTTTCTCAGCAAGACAAAATTTAAGTATTAACTCTGAGGGTTTGATTGGAAAGGATTTTCGCTTTCTGAGTTACATATTTCTGTACCTGTAACTTCTTTTACAATGAGCATATTACTTTTGTAGTCAGGAAATAGCGATAGATTTACAAAATTCTTTTTAAATGGTAGAGTTGAACTAAAGTTACGAATTTAACCCATGTAATCGGGTAGTGCTCATCACAGTGAATTCTAAATTTACTCAAACTCTATTTCAGGCTGCGCTTCCTAAGTGGTTTGCTTACCACGTCACGTGAGACAAATGCAATAAACAAGAGATTAATAAGAGAGAGAAGAAAAGCTTCCCTGGGGACAGGCAGCCCAATGACAGCACAGTCTGTGCCCACTGACAACACAAACCACCCAAGTGCAGCCCGGAGGGCCGCCCACGCAAACCCGCGTGAGGGACGCGGTGAGAGAAGGCAGTCGTACGCGCCGTTTGACACAGCTCCTTGGGCAACACTGACATCTGGTGGACCCTTCCATCCCCTAACTCACAGAAACATCAAGAGACCTCCCAAAAGCCTTCAAGCTCTTACAAGCCTCCTGTCATCAATGAGATGAACACACACACACACACACACACACACACACACACACACACAGACACACAGATACACACAGACACACACAGACACACACACACGCACACACGTGATCCGTAGCCGTTAACACGAGTCGGGGGTCACCCTCTTCGCCGTGTGCTGTGCTCTATCAAGTCAATGTCTACTGAAGGAAGACTAAACAGTCCACGTACAGAAACCTCGTTTCAGTAAAAAATACAAACATCTCAATGGACGCACAACACAAAAATATTTGCCCGTGACAGTTAAAAAGATACCAGATGCCCTGGGACTAGTTGTGAACACATGCTGTGAAAACATACTTTACAAGGCTCCGAAGGGCAGTTCCTAGGCCTGCTGAGAGAATCCTACACAGAACGTCACCTATTCTCCAACAGCCACCTGAAGAAGAAAGATACCTTTTTCGGGACTGCTCGTATTTCCAGGCACCAGGTGAGGATGGACTGCAGAGAGCAGCTCTCAGGGATGTGCGGAGGCAACGCTGCTCCTGTCCAGGTGAAGACAGGGGAAAGGGTCACAGCGTAAGAAAATGAAGAATAACACGCTCTGCATTCCTAAAAACACAATTGACTCTAACACTATACCGTACTATACTATCAGAGCGCAACACGATTTGTGGTAACGTTTATTCAGCCAAACTATTTCCTCAAAATGAATGCAGCAGCGAAGCCCACCCTACAAAAGATAAATTGCAAATTCAAAAGCATTATTATATTAGCCATGGCTACCAAATCCAGGCATGCCACACAAAAGAAAGAACGATCTCAAACCAAGGGACAAAATGCCAGAAGATGGCAATGTTCCATTAGATTTTATGATATGTTAATCTTGAAAAGAACATGAGAACCAAAAGAACTTAAGATTCAAGAAATTAATGTGTATTTAGATTAAAAAAATAATAATTATGGAAAAATCAAATAATACACAATCAACAGGCATTAATAAATGTTCTACGAGAATTAAATGTAACAGGAAAACAATTTTTTAAAAAATGGTTCCAGGCTATTGCTTCCGAAAGACTATACAGAGACACATTAATTTTTTATGTTCAATAATATCTAATAAGTAGAAAAGCCACTACCTTATTTAGCGCAATTAATGCAAAAGTTAATTTTCCACAGAGCCCTGGTGGCACCGTGGTTAAGGGCTATGGCTGTTAACAAAAGGTCAGCAGTTCGAATCCACCAGCCACTCCTTGGAAACCCTATGGGGAAGTTCTACACTGTCCCAACAGGGTCACTATGAGTCAGAATCAACTCAATGGCAATGAGTTTGGTGTGTTTTTAATACAAAAGTTAACACGTGAACCATTAGCAAGCGCTTTTGCCCTGGCCTGCGCTGCACAGTGGGCGTCTGACGGGGCCTCCAAAGGGAGGTGGGGGGCCCTCTTGCCTATGAGCTCCAATCCACGGGCCCGAGGGCCCCTAGGAAGTGAAGCAACACCCTCAGGCTGTACCCTTCTTCCGTGTGTTCTCCTTAATCTCCAGGAGGATGCGGTGTTCTCTCTGGTGTGTGAGCTGCAGCCTCTGGAGCAGGCTCTGGACCTCCTCCTCGCTGTTCGGACAGACCACGTGGAAGGCATCTCCAGGCTGGCAGGAGAAGTCTGTTTTCTAGGGAAGAAGCCCAATGAGAGAGGGTGACCAAAGATTTAAGTTGTGAGGTGAAAACAAAACCAGAAAAACGCAGCTCGCTATATGACCATTTCAATACATGAACTCAGACATAGAATCACTCCAAGTGCAAATGCTATATGACCATTTCAATACATGAACTCAGACACAGAATCACTCCAACTGCAAACACTACATGACCATTTCAATACGTGAACTCAGACACAGAATCACTCCAAGTGCAAACACTACATGACCATTTCAATACGTGAACTCAGACACAGAATCACTCCAACTGCAAACACTACATGACCATTTCAATACATGAACTCAGACACAGAATCACTCCAAGTGCAAACACTACATGACCATTTCAATACATGAACTCAGACACAAAATCACTCCAAGTGCAAACACTACATGACCATTTCAATACATGAACTCAGACACAGAATCACTCCAAGTGCAAACACTACATGACCATTTTAATACATGAACTCAGACACAGAATCACCCCAACTGCAAACACTATATGACCATTTCAATACATGAACTCATAGAATCACTCCAAGTGCAAACACTATATGACCATTTCAATACATGAACTCAGACACAGAATCACTCTAAGCGCAAAAACCAAAGGAACAAATATAGCGAACCAACACACGAGCCTACTTTTACTAGGAGGTATCCAGTACTGCACGTATCAATACTTTCTAAAACTGAGTGTTTACAGAAGGAAAACGAAGACCTTCAGCATTTTCCCAGAGCAGGGGCCTGAGGAAGGAGTGTTTCTGGTGACCCACTTAAAGGTCTCTCTATACCCCCGGCCATCTACTTTGGTTTTCAATTTCCTCCCCCTCACTTCACTCCTTCCCTTTTGGGGAGGGGGAGGGCAGGGAGGAGACATGTTATTTTTCCTTAATGGGCATGAAATGTCACACGATCTGGCTTGTTACAAGCAGACATGGCTGGAGCCGAGTTGTTCCCGTCGCGTCTATTCATGGTGTCCACCGGCTTCAGGTCCTGGGGCGGCTCTGGCCGCGGACACAGACCAGGGTCCTGGAAAGGGACCTGTGACCCCGACAGACGCAGCAACTGGCAGGCCCTGCCTCCCTCTGACAAAGATGTACAGCACAAGAACAAAAAACAAAAGGGTTGGGCTACGTAGTACAAGGATCTGACAGCACAGATTACTCACGCGTTGAAAGGAAATCCGGGACTCTGCCATAGCAGGTGGGTCCAACCACCCAGTTCAGACGCCTGCCACAGCTCTCTCCTGCTAGCAGGAAGCTCACTTTAGCCACCCCCATGTGTTGACTTTCAGAAAGCAAACTCAGGCAGTCTCCCAGGGCCTCCCCAAAACGTGACCCTGAAGCTGCTCTCACGCCCCGAGGATTTGGGATTATCATTCAGTTCTTAACCTGAGGTCAGTGGGTTCTGGTGGGGGTGGGTGAGTTCAGAGCGGGAGGGCACAGCCCCCCAAAGCTGCAGGAGACATGCTTCACACATCATCATTTTCCGGGAGAAAGGGTCTATACTGTTTCCCAAATTGTCACAGGAGTCGGAGAGCTACCGCTCTGTAAAATTAACCTTCTACGACGTGACTGTCGCTGGCCGCTTAGGTGTGAACTCCTGCTCTGACTCCACTGTTCTTCAAAGGCTCCGCTGAGGTGGAGCAGGAACAGGGTGAGGCGGGATGGAAGGCCGGGTCCAGAGGCAGCGGGCCTCTCCCCCTGAGCCTGTGTAACGGCACGCACAGCCCTCTGCGGGGTCTTGAGGCTCTAACTGGGCCAAGCAATCAATGCTGTAACTCACCGAAATGTCCAGTTCCAGCAGCAGAGTGGTTTTTACGGCATCGTTGGTAGTAAGCTGAACTGCCTTTGAGATTGGAACTTGAAAGACTGAATCCACTGAAGTCACAGACGGTCGGCTTTCCTCCTGGAAAAGAACGCGATAAAATATAACTAAATGCAATTTTCAGCCATACCATTCTTTTACTTGGGGACTTCTCTATGCGATCTTGCAAAGCCTCCTGGTCGTGTAAGCACTCCTTTCTGACCGCAGACATCATTTAAAAACCACATCCCACTCTTCCAGAAGAGAAGCTCGTCTGTATTTCTGACTCCTTGTCCGTCAGACTCTGGAGTTCTGAAATGCACACTGTGACTGTCAGACAAGAGCGTTTCCTAGTCCTCCTAGGAAAGCAGGTGGACGGAAACAGCACGCTTGCAAATGTCTCAGGAAGGCGACCCCAGAAGCGATGACAGGGTTGACAAGGCTGGAATGTGTCTGTGCGGGTGGCCCAGGGGACTCCCGTGGTGCCAGGCAGGGCTGTGCAGTAGAGAAATGCCCCGCCTCTGCGCTGTCCAATACAAGAGCTACCAGCCTCACGTGGCTACTGAGCCTCGCACCACAGCGAGTGCGGAGGAGGAGCTGAGCTGTCGACTCGTTTATTTAGGTTTAAACGGCAGCCTGTGGCTATGACTCCTGAACGGACAGCACAGAACGCAGAGACGCAGGCCTTGGTACTGGCATCACACCCTTTCCTAACTCGTTGCTCCAGAGTTTACAGATAGAACACAACATTTAGAAAGTGCCAGTGGATTTATCCTGGATGGCTGGTATACCTTGGTATATGGGGAAGCTGGGGGGATGTCGAACTGAGTGCTGGGGTCCAAAAGGCACCAATATGCACCATCCAGCCTGCTCTCAGCAGGGGCTGCTGGGGTGCAGCCAGAAGAAGGCCCTGCTGTCAGTCACCCCTGTGATCCCCCAGTGCTGTCAGGCCACGCCTCCTCTCAGAGGCAGCCACGTCCATGACTGGTCAATGACTCTGAAGTCCCAGCCCCTTGGCCCCACTCAGGGTGAGACTGAAGGGCTGGGTCTGAAGGGCCGTCCCGGGATAGAGACCCCGGGGGCCGTCAGAAGCCTCTGCCGAGAGGCTACATTGCAGTTCAGCAGAGGACCCCAGGAGGATGCCCTAGAAAAGCCCCCTCTGACCCTGGGAACCTAGCCCGCGACGGTCAGTGTCAGCGTGGGAGGAGGACGGTGCTGAAGCGGGGGCTGGAGCTGACCACCGCCTGGCTGGTGCTGAGAACACCACACCGAGCAGACCCACGGGGACAAGGGCCCGGCACCAGGAGGTGGGGTGCTGTACCCGGGGAAGGGGGGGCACTAGCCGCTGGGACACTGGAGAACCAAACACCGTAGGTTTTACCAGCTACACAGTCTCAGTGACAACTGCTCAACTACGCCGGCGTCAGCACGAAAGCAGACATCGACAACACATAAACATATGGACGTGGCTACGTTCAATAAAACTTTATTTACAAAAACGTGGCCGCATGCTGTCCTTTGCTGAACTCTACCGTAAATGCAGTAACAAAAACAGCACAAATACCCATGTCCTATAGGACAGAGTAGAACCGCCCCAGAGGGTTTCCAAGGAGCACCTGGTGGATTCAAACTGCTGACCTTCTGGTTAGCAGCCAAGCTCTTAACCACTATGCCACCAGGGTTTCCAAGGTAGTAACAAACACAGAACAAATATTTGCGGTAAGACATCACTGAATAGTATGAAGCACAACTGCTTACCTGGGCAAGCGGCTCCTGCAGACGCACCTTCAAGTACTCGGGGGGCAGAGCGGGGATACTGAGGGAGGCCCGTGAGAGTGGGGGTCCTGAGCAGATGAGTGAGGGCTCAAAGTCTTCGATCAGGGCACCTGTCTGACCACCGTTCACTGTGTCTTGTCCCGAAGCCTGAGAATCCCTCCCTCCCGAATCGTCTAATCGCAGAAGCTCGATTTGTGATTCAATGTGTGAAACTGCTGGCTTCACAGGGTCTGTCCTCAATGAGGCGTTGGCTGCCACTATGGGGGCTCCACCCACGTCTTCCTTCCCTCGCCTCGATGTGAAGTGCTTTGTGAGGGCGGCCCAGAGTCCATCAATCCACGGCTCAACCACAAGCTCCAAACTGGATTGTTGAACAGAAGAGACAAGAAGCAAAACAGCTAAGTTCTCCAGAACGGCTAACGGCAGTCTGCCCATCTGACAGGTGCTATTCAGCGGTTAATACCAGGTGTGAAGCTATTCAGAATACAGAAACACTGATGAACAGTTAGGTAAAGAAAGGAAAGAAAGAAAGAAACAGAACGTTATTAGTACTGTCGCTGTAAAAAACCATGCACATAGAAACATCAGAAAACAGAAACAAAGACGTTTCAGGAATGGGGCAACAGAAACACAAGTTCGTCTTCGTTTTCTAAAATAGTTATACTCTTAAAGATTTTAAAACTCTGTGTTTAAGAACTTATACTTTTAAACAGGCATAGTAAATGCTGATGTGGCTAACAGAACTTAACCAAAAGTCAAGGTTCCTCTAAATACCACAAACGACAATCACATCGATCACCCGCACTCTATGTTCACCTAGCCGACTCACCAACCTTCATCTTAGCACGACTCCTGCTACAGTTTCACTGTACTCGCTAGGGGTCACGCAGTATATGTATGGCTCAAAACTTGGTTCTACCTCTCCTCTATCTCTGAGGAGCCTTTGGGAAGGCAAATTTATAGTCATGGATTCCATTACGATGGCTATTTAAAACACCACCTCACCACTAGGATGACGGTATGTGTAACCACAGAGACAGCTAACGTCCATGGAGGGCTCACTGTATGAGAGGCATGTTCTAAGGGGAGAACAGGTACTGAGTCCCCTAAGCCTCCCTGAACCTTACGCGGTGTGTACTACCACAGTCTATTGGCAGAGGACCGACACACACAGTTTATAGAATCCGGCCAAGGTGTCCCAGTCAGTGCGTGGAGGACCAAGGGTTTGAAACCAGGCACTGGGATTCCAGAGTCTGCATTCTTAACCCTACGTGGTGATACACTGGGCGAGGGTGTCTTCTTGAAGATACTTTAGTGTTAGAAAAGCAAAAATCTTAAGTCATTAGGTAGAAACATTAAGATGTGCCGGCTGCTGAAGTACACATCCAAGAACTGTACTGCTTATCCACACACGAGCTGGGCCACCGAGAGCCTCTGAAGAGAAGCAGAGCGAGGACTGAGTGACTGACAGGCCAATGGGTTAGGAGGAGTTAGTACGGAAACACAACCGCTACGAGACCACAAACACTTCATGTCAACAGGATCGGACAAGAAAAGCCCCATGAAGGGACAAAAGTGAAGGGAGCACGCGAGGGAAGGACGAGACGACCCGCGCGGCGGGTGAAGTGAAAGGAGCACGCGAGAGAAGGGCGAGACGACCCGCGCGGCGGGTGAAGTGAAAGGGAGCACGCGAGGGAAGGGCGAGACCACCTGCGCGGCAGGTGAAGTGAAAGGGAGCACGCGAGGGAAGGGCGAGACCACCTGCGCGGCAGGTGAAGTGAAAGGGAGCACGAGAGGGAAGGACGAGACGACCTGTGCGGCGGGTGTGGGAGTGGCCACAGCATCACAGCTGCAGACAACGGGGGATGAGGGGGACCCCAGGTACGAGCTTAGGGGAGGATCACAGGTGTCTCCGACACACCAGGTGTAAAGTTCTAACACGCAGGAAAGTAAGACAATAGCTGAATCTGTCATAATTCACAGAGACGGCCTCAGTGTGTGAACGCGCATTTAATACATGCATAGTAGAAAGAACCCAGTGTGTGCCGTTATCTGGCTAAGACAGATACTAAGGGCAAATGACAGAACAGGTTATGGGACAATGCCTGTAAGACATCTGCACTAGCCTGCTAAGGGGATTTAAAAGGTAGCACACAGGGCGAAATGCTAAGCTGTAAGAACAAAAATAAATAAAAATCACGAAAACAGAAACTGTAGGTGTGGTTGGCGAGGTGGCGAATGGAAACTCAGGCAGAAGAAGCGTGAGCCGGGAAGAGCGCCCCGGTCAGCACACGGCAGCCCGTGTGTCATGTCAGCAGTGGTGGGACAGGACGCCCTCCACGAGAAGACACATGTGCACACAGAGAAGCACGCGTGCACACTGCTGAATTTCCTGAGTGACTGCAGTAAATCTCCTAAAGAAAATGCCACACTGAGAGGCACACTCCAAAATACAGAGACATCACTCTTCCTTCTTCCCACTAACAGATACTGACGATGAAGCACACTCAGGAACAGAAGAAAATCACCAAAACAGGGAAGTCTGGCTGACCTTGGGTCCTAAAGCCAAAAAAGTTAACAAAACACAAATATGACTTTCAAGATGGAAGTTTCAGTGGTAAGCTGACGCCCAACACGTTTCAAAACTCCCCGATGTCAGGACTAAATCAGGGTGGACTGGGACAAGCAGAGCAGAAAAGGAGATCGCACTTACCCTACACAGTCGTCTGCATGTCCCGTGTCATAGAAATGTCGGGCGCCAAGTTCCTGAAGTCGTCGATCAATTATTTTTCCCCCATTACAGAAGTAGGTATATTCTGAGTCACCCAGACCTAAAGAGCCCAAATAAATGATTAGTCCATATGAACCTTTAAAGAACCAGTTAGACAGCACCCAACAATAACCACCACCTTTAAAGATATAAAGAAGAGCTGGACGTTTAAAACAATTATATTCTATGCCCTTATTCATAAAGGAAGAGATCCTGTATAGTGTCACAGTTTATTAATTTTTCCTTGATTAATACTAAGCATATAGACAATTATCTTCTGTTTTACTGTGTAAAAGCACCAGACATACAGAAACAAAACAAATAATTTGACCACTTAATATTAAAAGAAACCTATTTCACTCTTTCATTTCCATGAATCTGTGTGTGAAAATACAAGTCTTAAAAAAGTATTAGGTGGGTTTAAAAACTTGACACCTGTGTTTGTAGACTTCACTGATCCAGAGCAGGGGTCTGCACACACCAGGCTGTGGGCCAACTCCCACCGCTACCTGCTTCTGTAAGCAAAGTTTTATTGGAACACAGTCACATCCATTTGTTAATGTGTTGTTTTTGACTGCCTTTGAGCTACAAAAGCAGAGGTGAGTAGCTGTGATGGAGACCACATGGCTTGCAAAGCCATAAATATTTCCTATCTGGCCCTTTACAGAAAGGGTTTGCTGATCCTCACATGGAGTATGTCTGGAGGACAAACAGCGCTTGCTGCAAATGTTTCTGTGCTGGGTAAACGATGAACAGCTTGTATGCCTCCTGGTGAGAAAACGGACTAACTTCTTTTCGTATCTGGTTTGAATTTTAAAATTAAAAGTTTCATTTTTCAATTGTTATCTCCACATTCTTCCCTGGTAAGAGCAGGGTGAGAGATTGGTGGATCCATATTTGTGCTTTAGATTGACGAGAACAGTTGGCTAGGCTACAGTCTTTTCTTTTTCATAATGTTTTGAGGAATTTTCAAAGTAACGTGTTAACTGTTGAAAACAGTGATTAGAAAATAAAGGAAGAGTATAAATTTAAGAATCTATTGAAATACAACCAATGTTAACTTCTATTATTCCATCATCACATTTTTAGTAGGGTCTGACCTTAACATACACACAAATATAATTTTATATTCTATTTATTTTAGTAAACATTTTTCATATAACCCTTTGCCTATTATTAAAAGCCTGAGTTAAAAAAAAAAAAAAAAGAAAAAAGCTATGAAATACTCTCTTGAGCATGTTAGACATGATAGATCCAGAGCAGGGTCTTGAATCTCCAATTTCCCACCAACAATTTATTAAAGCAAAATCCATCCTGGCTAGCGACTCCCAGGGAAAAAAAAAAAATCTTCCAAAATGAATACTACGGGTCTCAAGCGAGGAACACGGACCCCGAATTCTCTCTCTGGAGCCTGTCTTGCTGTGCTCATCCTTCAGATCCTTTATCTTCACATTTTAAACTACACTTCACAGAGCTGAGGCCAGTAGTCCGTAACCCGGACTGCCTGTTAGAGTCACCTGGGAATTTTTAAAGATACTGATGCCTGCGCCCTACCCTAGAACAACCGAGTCAGAATTCCCGCAGGTGTGGCCCAGTAATGGTGTTTACTAAACACTCCCTCAGACGATTGCCATGTGCAGCCAGGACTGAAACCACTCTCCTGGGGGATGATTCTCAGAGGAGGGAAGGGATCAGCATCCCCTGGGAGCCTTTTACAGAGAATGGGTAGGCAGGCTTCCTCCCTCGGGGAAGCTGTGTTAGGAGGTTTGCACGTTTTACAATGGAACCTGACGTGCACCCCTGGTTACGGATGCAACTACAGGGGCTCCGTGGAGATGCTCCCGCAGGAAGGAGATGCTCCTGCAGGAAGGAGATGCTCCTGCGGGGAGGAGACGCTCCTGTGGGGAGGAGATGGGGAGGGCGTTCACACCAGACAGCACCTGTTTACACTTATGTACGTATTTATTAATGTTTTAAATACTTGTATTTAAAAAAATAAAAAAAACCCCGTAGAAGTCTGTTTCATGGTTTTAAAGAAGCTCCCAGGCCCCCGCGTTACAGCCAGTAACAGAGCTCGTAGGACAGACAGAAGGTTCATTACCCAGCAGTCCATACCGCAGGTGGGCGAAGAAACCAGCCGGCAGCGTCTTGTCGTGTATTTCCTTAACAAACCTGCGGGCCGTGTCCGGCGGGTCCCCGGTGCCCGTGGTAGAAACAACAACAACCAGAGGGGCTGTTTCGGTTTTCAGATTATACTGCAAACACAAGAGAAAGGAGAGGGTCAGCAAAAACGACGGAGACCTTCAAAGAGACGGACCGACACCACCGTGACAAGAACGGACTCCAAACATCAAAGACGGTGACGGTGGTGCAGGACTGGGTACCGTTCGCTTCCGTTCCACATACGGTGGCCACGAGCCGGGGCAGCCCGGACAGCAACCAACAGTGACGAACAAAGACAAGGATCTCGCTTCAGGGACTGACTGCTGTATGCACGTGTGACTTAACACACCAGCAAAGCAATCTTCGTTGTTTCCTGTCTTGCAATTCCTTCCATTCTCCTTCTTAGCACATTATCAGAGATGCACGCCTGAGTGACCAGCCCAGTAACCAGCGGAAGAGGGGGTCGAGCCGTCCAGTACAGGACATGCTCAGTGGGACACACGCACGCACTTTGCTGATGGTCACTGGGAGGTCAGCGGGTTTAACGTTTCCCTCTCCCCGTGTGCTACCCGAGAAGCAGAGGCGGGCCCCACCACAGGCTTCCATCTAGTCTACCCTTCCATTTCCAGGAAAATTAGAGGGAGACGGGACTGATAAACCAACTATTTGCAACTGTATCTTGAGTCAAGTGTTACCATGAGCGCTAACATGTAAGGCTATTTACAGTACTGTCAAAGCAGCAACGCCCAGCTTTCAGTGCCCTTGGACCTGTGGGACAGTTTGGAAACTACATACAACCAGGCAAACCCACCGCCCTGGACAAAAAACCAACACGGTCTTTAGAAAGGGGAGAAACAGCCACGGAAGAAGTCCCCAGCACAGAAGAGCCCAGCTAAGAGCCAAAGACTATGCACAGTGATGAGCTGCCAAGGAGGAAAAGAAGCTGCTTCAGTGGGAACAGCTTTCCATGACAAAGGAAAAAAAGCAAGCAAAGGGATTTTTCAAAAAAGAAACAAAGAAACAGACTATAGAAGAATCCTGATCAAAAGGGGGAAAATGCAGAACAGAAATCCAAATTCTCACGGAATCCAGACTTCCCAGAGCCACGGAGGCTGGATGAACGACTAAAACTACTGCTCTGAGATAAATCTTTAAACCTTAAACCAAAGATCTCCTGAAGTCTTTCTAAAACCAAACAACAATTTAGCTTAACTAGTTAAAGAAAAAAAAAAGATCTGCCTTGAGCATTATGCTCATTTAAGAACTATCTATCTGGGATCAAACTGACAACAGCAACTGGGAAGATTAGATAGGAACCTTAAGGGGCAGTCAGTTTATGTTAACGGGGGAGGAACAACTCGGAAAAGGAAGGTAAGAATGGTCACTGAATTGTACATGTAGAAAGAGTTCAATTGGTGTATGTTTTGCTGTGTATCTTCTCAACAACAACAAAATGAATACAACTACAAAAGAAGTGCACAGATACACAGGTGATCAGGATTAAAATGGAAGATAAGAAGGGAACAACAGATATTCTGGCAGACTCGGGCACTGAAACCACAACATCTCTGGAATCTTCAGCAAAATACAAAACCAAACGGAGCCGGTCACCTGGACTGCACGGGGCACAGGGCTCAAGTTGGGAAACTAGAAGCGGTAATCCTCACGATCGGGGAGCTGGCTCTGGAGACCGGCTCCTTATCCCCTGAGGGTTCCAGACAGCCAAGGAAAGTATCAACTGTAAATGAGATCACTGGTATTGCCAAGTCTGATATATGAAGTTTCTCCACTAATTCTCTCCCAAATTTACCTATTTCAAACAGCCGTTTGATGCCAATGGCTTTGTTTGCTTAGTGGGACGGATTTGGGCTCTATCCCATCATCTGGCTCCCACAAGGTAAATCAAGTTACCACAGGATAATGACACTGCCTGCGTGTGGGCCGTGGCGCTGTCCTCGGGGACATCCCCTTTTGTGTAACTGACTTCACCTGGAGTCACCAGGCAGCGCTCATAAGGAAACTTGGGTAGGTCTCCTTCCTTGAGCTGGGTTTACAATTCACCTGTGCTGTTGACGGTCTAGTCTTCTGAACTCGATGTGTGACAAGACAGACAAGACCGTGAACGTGTGTGAGGATAAAAATCAAATCCACTTTTTCTGATTCTAACTGAGGGGTTAATAATCATCAACATCAATCAAGGCCCCTGCTATTCTGTCACTTCTGTTTGGACACTAGGTGCCTCAGACCCTAAGCACCCCGAGCTGGGTCAGAGCTCACAGGTTAAAGGACACGCTCCTCCAGACTGTCAAGTAAGCCCAGGACTTCAGACACCGGCCGCAAACCTGAGTTCCCTGGGGTTCCCCGCAGAGATGACTGATTGGCTACAAATTCAGGATTTCCCTCTATCCCTTCAGGATGCCGACCACAAGCTCAGGTCCCGCCCCTGGGCTCCCTCACTTCTTCTGACCCACTGGCTACAAATTTGAGGGTTCCCTCTACTGCCACAGGATACCAGCCGTAAGCTGAGAGGTTCCCAGCCCCCCTCACGTCTCAGCCGCTGGTTCCCACCACTCCACTGCATTCAACAATTTGCTGGACCGACTCACAGAACTCACTTTCCTGTAGGAAAAAAGAGCACAAACGAAGAGGCGCGTACGGTGAGGTCCGGGAAGGTTCCCAATGTGGAGCTCCCATGTCCCAAAAAGGGACGCACTACCATCCCACGGGCACCAACGTCTCACAAACCAGGAAGCCCAGGGAGCTCCGTGTCCAGAGCCTTTACTGGAGACTCATTAGGTAATCGTGGTTATGGAATCAGCCCACCTCTCCTGAGGTCAGCTAATGCCAGGCCGCTTGCTGGTCTCTCTGGCCAGGCCAGCCCCACCTCATCAGCACAAACCCTCACGTGTGGCCTGGAGGCCTCTTAGACAACAAAACCATAAAAACAAACCTGTTTCCACTGAGTTGATTCCGACTTATAGAAACCCTATAGGACAGAGCAGAACCGCCCCACAGGGTTTCCAAGGAGCGGCTGGTGGATTTGAACTGCCGACCTTTTGGTTAGCAGCCGAGCTCTTAACCCCTGGGCCACCAGGGCTCCTCTCTTCAAAAACACTTTAATTACTCAGGAAATTCCAAGGCTTAGAGTCATTTCTCAGGGACCCAGGACTAAGACCAAATTCTCCGGGTAAAACTAATGTAAACCCCACAGTGGAGTGAGTGGGTACTGGCAGGGTGGTTTCTGACGACTCAGTGGTCAGCAGGTCATCTCTGTTACAGCCTGAACTGTCTGACACAGGGTCATCTGAATCCGGATAACCAGGAGAAAACAGAACTATTACAGAGCCTGTGTACCCTCAGGAAGGAACTTCTGCAGAGCCTGAACACAGAGTACATACAGTCCCTGATCTTAAGAAGCTGAGTCTCCTCAGACTCTTACACTTCTCCTTTAAATTTTATTTCAAACAAGAAGTGTCATGAATTGAATTGTGTCCCCCAAAAATATGTACATCAATTTGGCTAGGCCATGATTCCCAGTATGGTGTGACTGTCCACCATTTTGTCATCTAATATGATTTTCCTGTGTGTTGGAAATCTTATCACTATGAGATGAATGAGATGATTAGCAGCAGTGACGTTAATGAGATGGGTTAGCGGCAGTTACATTAATGAGATCTACAAGATTAGATTGTCTTAAGCCAATCTCTTGTGAGATATAAAAGAGAGAAGTGAGCAGAGAGACAAGAAGCAGAGACACAAGGGCACCTCATACCACCAAGAAAGAAGTGACGGGAGCACAGCGCATCCCTTAGACCTAAGTTTCCTGCTTTGAGAAGCTCCTTGACGAAGGGAAGATTGATGACAAGGACGTTCCTCCAGAGCCGACAGAGACAGAAAGCTTTTCCCAGGAGCTGGCGCCCTGAATTCCAACTTCTAGCCTCCTAGACTGTGAGAGAATAAACTTCTCTTTGTTGAAGCCATCCACTCGTGGTATTTCTGTTATAGCATCACTAGATGACTAAGACAGAATTTGGTACCAAGAGTAGGACGCTGCTCAGATACCTAAAATGTGGAAGTGGTTTTGAAACTGTGAATGGGTAGAGGACTCAGAAGGAAACGAGGAGAGCTGGTATACTGGAGACGGAGCAGACAGCGAGAAGCAGCAGCAGAGAACCGGAAGCAGCAGAACCAGGAGACCAGCAAGAGACAGCGCTGGAGCCGACCCATGGAGAGAGAGACAGCTGAGTGCCTGTGCGCAGAAGGCTTCCTGGCAGAGTGGGGTGCCTACAGGCACTTATTGGAGGAGCTACAGAGCTTTGGAACACTTGCCCCTGCAGGGCAGACGCGGGCATGAGGCCCAGGAACCAGGAAGCAGAAGCTGAAGAGATAAGGAACACAGGAAGCCAAGCTGCCTCCGTCTCAAAAGGTATGGCCATGACCTCTGGGGTCTCAAAGGGTGAGCAATGGCCTCTGGAGTTCCTAAGGGTGGCGTCGTCACTCAGATGGACCAAGCAAAAGGTGCACCTAAAGCCAAGGGAGCAGAGTTGCTGTGACAGTGGGCCTGGAAGACAGAGCTGAAGCTCAGGGCCGAGGGGCCTCCACTTAGAATCCGAACAGTGTGGCCAATACCTAGAGTCTGGAGGGCAAGGTCATTGTGTAAATGGTCTCTGAGAACAGAGAATTATTTTCAAAGCCTTGAGGGCTAATGTAATGTGTTCTGCTGACTTGCTTGGTGCCTGTTATCCCTTCTTTTCCTCCAATTTCTTCCACTTGTAATGGAAATGTCTAGCTTGCAGCTGTTCCACCATTGTACTTTAGAAGTAGATAACTTGTATTCTAGGTTTCAGAGACGAGGAAGAATTTTTGGATTTTGGACTTGGAGTTGATTTAAGACTTTTGCTATGATATGATGGGGTGAATGTGTTTTACGTGTGGCAAGGACATGAACTTTTGGGGGCCAAAGGGTAGAATGTCATGGATTGAACTGTGTCCCCCCCAAAACACGTGTATCAACTTGGCTAAGCCATGATTCCCAGTATTGTATGACTGTCCACCATTTTGTCACCTGATGTGATTTTCCTGTCTGTTGTAAATCCTATCACTATGATATGAATGAGACGATTAGCAGCAGTGACGTTAAGGAGATGGATTAGCAGCGGTTATGTTGATGAAATCTATAAGATTAGACTGTCTTAAGCCAATCTCTTTTGAGATATAAAAGAGACAAGTGAGCAGAGAAATAAGGAGCAGAGAGACCAGGGGACCTCATACCACAAAGAAAGCAGCACCGGGAGCAGAGCGTGTCCTTTGGACCTGAGGTCCCTGCGCTGAGAAGCTCCTAAACCAAGGGAAGACTGATGCCAAGGACCTTCCCCCAGAGCCAACGGAGAGAGAAAGCCTTCCCCTGGAGCTGACGCCCTGAATTTGGGCTTCTAGCCCCTTAGACTGTGAGAGAATAAACTTCTCTTTGTTGAAGCCCTCCACCTGTGGTATTTGTTATAGCAGCACTAGGTAACCCAGACAAGAAGGCAGGCAGTCCTTCACCTGGTGGAACTCTAACAAGGTCTTTCTTCTGGGAAAACGCATGGGGGACAGGGATCATGAGTTGCAGTGCGTGTGCACACACGCACACACACACCCCTGGCACTGCAGCACTTTCTCACGTACCTCACTTGCCCTCACAGTCACCCCATGAGATAATATATGCATATGCTACTCAATTTATAGTAGAGAAAAGTGAGCAATGTTACTTGCTTTGGTTTCTCAGAATCTTTCACCCAATTCAAATGGACATTTTTATGTAATAAAAAACTAGCAGGAAACTGACAATACAGCTGATAAAATAAATTTCTGGCGATTTTAAGAAAAGCACTTTGGTGCTTTTAGCGTCCTACTTTGTACTTTGACACACGTCACTTTCTTTTCCAAGCATAAGACAGAAAACACCCGCAGAGGAGCAGCTCTTACCTTGTCCGACTCACTGATGCAGTGCAGGTCTGCAGAAAACCCATGTGTGGCCGCCTGCTCGCAGATTTCTTCTGCTATGGCTTTTGCCTGACCTTGCTGTGTCGCGTACAGTAACAGAAACCTCCTCATCCCTGCAAGACACATACTATCACTGGGACAGCTGCACTGTGGGAAAAGGGAGTCCCTTTTTAGGGAAGCAGCAACAGCCTGCAGGGATTAAGTCCCTCATAAGCTTTAACAAAGGGGCCCTGGGCGGCAGGAGCCCTGGTGGCACAGTGGTTAAAGCACTCGGATGCGAGCCAAAAAGTTGGTGGTTAGAATCCACCCAGAGGCACCTGGGATGAAAGGCCTGGTGATCTGCTTCCGAAAGGTCACAGCCTTGAAAATCCTGTGGAGCAGTTCTACTCTGACACACAAGAGAATAAGGGATTAAATTCCATGGTTCAGAATCATATTCTGGGGTCAGACTACTTGGATTTGAAGCGAGATTCTGCCATTCAGAGCTGTACCTTTAGGCAAGCTGCTTCACTGATCTACACCTCAGCTGCCTTATGCTCAAAACGAAGATGATAATACCCTCTCAACAAATGACCTCATATGTGGGAAGCACTTGAAACAATATCTGGAACACAGCAGTCAGTACTCACAAACCTTGGATATCTTTTTGCTGCTTTTTTTAAAAAAGATAAAAGTAAAAATTTCATTAAAATTGTAGGCTTCTTGGTTTCTGTTTGATCCTAGTGCTAAACAAATTAATCACAGTACCACAGTTAATTGAAACAATACTCTCATCTGTTATTTAATTCAGTATCACATATATACATACATGTGTATATATGCATGTGTATATGTGCATGTATATATATGTGTATATACTTCCAATCCACTCAAACATTTTACTAGTTCATATGTTCTTCCCGAAAACATAACCAGGAGCACAGTAAAGGTCACTCACAGACTTTTTTCGATGTTCATTCACTGTGCCTAAACCTGGGAACTGTCAGGTTTGACAGATTTAAACGGAAACACAAACCAAAACTTTGGCTTTTGACAAACGAGCAACCAACCATTTTATGACCCTCTGGTAATAGTTAAGAGCTCAGCTACTAACCAAAAGACTGGCAGTTCAAATCCACAGTCGCTCCTTGAAAATCCTATGCGACAGTTCTACTGTTGTACAAGGTCGCTATGAGTCAGAATCAACTTGACAGCAATGTTCCCCCCTCTCCCCCGGCCAATTATACCTAAGGACAAATTAAGCCACAAAGAAACTAACAGGTAAAATAATTGTTAGGTAACAAGTTAAAAAGCAAAATTATAGGATATCCTTAGGGGCCACAATAGGTCCTGGAATACAGTATGTGCTAGTAAATTAAACAAACGAATGGGTAAATGACAAAGAATAACGTGAAGACACCACACATATAGAGATGACCAAGCACTGCAGAAATATAACGATGAAAACCTCATCGCTTATTATTTTAGGTAACATTGAACACTTCCTAGTAGCCAACCAATGTTCCAGATGCTTCAGAGGGTTAACCCTTAATCTCTCCAAAACCAAACCTTAAAGCCGATTCTGACTTATGGCAATCCCATGTGTGCAGAGTAGAACTGTGCTCCATGGGGTTTTCAAGGGCTGTGACCTTTCAAAAATAGATGTTCTTGGGTGCTGTCCAGTAAATTCCAGCTGATAGCAACCCCATGTGACAGAGCAGAGCTGCCCCATAGGGTTTCCTGGGCTGTAATCTTCACGGGAGCAGATGTCAAGGCCTTTTCTCCCGTGGAGCTGCTGGTAGGTTTGAACCTCAGACCTTTCAGCTTGGCAGCTTAGTACTTAACCGTAAGTAGACAGATTGCCAAGCCTCTCTTGGGAGGCCCTGGGTGGATTGGAATGGACCTTTTGGTGAGCAGCAAGCAAAGCGTTAAACCACTTGCACGGCCCAGAACCTCCTTAACTCCTGCAACCACCTTGTGGGGCAGGTAGTTCCCGCCACGTGTCTCTGGCACTGGCCGGCCCAAGGTCTCACGGAGAGCCGGCGGGACAGGAGTCACCAAGGCTTGCCAGGAACGCTGCAGAGTTCAGAGCACGCCCCTTCCCGACACCCCCACGTTCCCCGCGCCCCCCAGTTGCATTGACTCAAGTCCTGAAAAGCACACGGAGGGAAACACGGGAAGGAGGAGCGGCGCCCACCTCATTCAAAGTTCCAGGCTCCTACTTCTGAGAGAAGCCAACGACGCGCCGGGGTGGGGAGGCCACAGGGCGGCCGGAGAGCGCCGCCCAAGCCACCCCAGAGCCCGAGGGGGCGGGAACCAGGCCGGGACTGGCGCCGAGGGCCTCACCTGCGCGGTGTCGGGGAGAGGAGCCGCCTAGGGACCTCACCTGCCCGCCGAGGGACCCGCACCTGCTCAGCGGAGGGCCTGACTTGCGCGTTGCCAGCCGGGAACGCTCCGAAGTGCGCATGCTTGGCACCTGAACCAATAGGAAACTCGTTCCGGGAGTCGGAGCCAATCACAACTAGCAGGGCATGGGGGCGGTGCCCGGAAAAACCTCCCCGCCGCGCATGCCTAGATGCTCGCCGCGTTCGCGCGGGCAGCGAATGTTGAGCTCGTCCCTCGCCGGGCGGAACTCGGTAGGTGTCAGCCAGGTGCGGCTCCGGGTTCGGCCGTCAGCTCTTCTCAGGCCGCGGCTCCGGGCCGCAGCGCAGCTCCCCGGGACCCGGTGTTGGGGTCGTGGGTTTGGGGGCGTCGGCTATGGGTGTGAGGATGCGAGTGGGGTTTACCCGCTCTCAGGGGGCCGTGGGTTTGGAGGCGCCGCGTGTGAGGTGCCCGGCCGTGGGGGTGCCCGGCCGTGGGTGCTGGGTCCGGGGTCCGCCCGTTCCCGGGGGGTCGTGGGTGTGAGCACCGGCCGTGGGGGTGCCCGGCCGTGGGTGCGGGGTCCGGGGTCCGCCCGTCCCCAGGGGGTCGTGGGTGTGAGCACCGGGTGGGAGGTGCCCGGCCGTAGGGGTGCCCGGCCGTGGGTGCGGGGTCCGGGGTCCGCCCGTTCCCGGGGGGTCGTGGGTGTGAGCACCGGCCGTGGGGGCGCCCGGCCGTGGGGGCGGGGTCCGGGGTCCGCCCGTCCCCGGGGGGTCGTGGGTGTGAGCACCGGCCGTGGGGGTGCCCGGCCGTGGGTGCGGGATCCGGGGTCCGCCCGTCCCCAGGAGGTCGTGGGTGTGAGCACCGGGTGTGAGGTGCCCGGCCGTAGGGGTGCCCGGCCGTGGGTGCGGGGTCCGCGGTCCGCCCGTTCCCAGGGGGTCGTGGGTGTGAGCACCGGGTGGGAGGTGTCCGGCCGTGGGTGCGGGGTCCGGGTCCGCCCGTTCCCAGGGGGTCGTGGGTGTGAGGTGTCCGGCCGTGGGTGCGGGGTCCGGGGTCCGCCTGTTCCCAGGGGGTCGTGGGTGTGAGGTGCCCGGCCGTAGGGGTGCCCGGCCGTGGGTGCGGGGTCCGGGGTCCTCCCGTTCCCGGGAGGTCGTGGGTGTGTGGGCGCCGGCTGTGAGGTGTCCGGCCTGGGTGCGGTCTCCGGGATCCGCCGGTTCCCAAGGGGCCTTGCGTGTGCGGGTGTGGGTTGCGGGACTCCCCGCGCCGTGTTCTGCAGGCTCCTCTCCCAGGTCCCCAGAGGGGGCTCGGCTCGGTTCTGGCCCGGCTGCCCCCACTTCACTCGTCATTGCTCTTTGTTTTTTCCATTTGCCAAGCCTGACCCCATCCTTCCTCAGTCCTAACCCAAACCCAACTCCTGTGAAAAGTCAACACCTCCGGGCCGGTAGACGCTTTCTTTACCCATGCCTTGCTTCCGCCTGTCCAGAATGTGACCATTTACCCGTTGCCACTTTTTAGTAGATATACTTTTAACTAAATGCTATCCCTTATTTCAACCAATATTTAGGGGGTGTGGTCAAGAGGGGGCCCTGGTGGTTCAGTGGTTAAGCGCTTGGCTGCTAATGGCAAGGTTGGAGGTTTGAACCCATCCAGCAACTCTGGGGGAGAAAGACCTGGTGATCTCCTTCCATAAAGATTACAGCCTAGGAAGGCCTATGGGGTGCTTCCACTTTGTCACATGGGGTCGCTATGAGTCAAAATCACCTCAATGGCAATTTTTCCTAGTGGTCAAGAGCTAGGTGGCCTGAGTTTGAATCCCACCTCTGCCTCTTACTAGCTGTGTCAACTCGGCAAAATAACTTCTCTGCTTCACTTTCTCACTTTTAAAATGAAGATGGAAGGCCCTCGTTCATCATGTTGTTGGGAGGATTAATTAATGTTCATGAAGCATGTACAACTTGCCGTGGAATCAATTTAGACTCCTGGCAACCCCACGTGTTACAGAGTAGAACTGCTCCGTTGGATTTTCTTGGCTGCTATCTTTACAGAAGCAGATCACCAGGCCTTTCTGATGCAGTGCCACTGGGTGGTTCAAACTGGCAACCTTTAGGTTAGTAGTCCAGCGCAAACCGTTTACTCTAGCACTAGCAACAGTGCCTGGCAAATGAAAGCTGTTATTGTTAGATGGCAGCCATTTGTCTAGGCTCTGGGATGTAAGATCCTGCTCTCCTCGTCATATATTTTAGTGGGATTTTTATTAACCACGTTTTTCGGTACTCAGCCTCAGTTTTGTGCACACCAATGCTGAGTGAAATCATGTTTTCGATGTATCTGACCGTGTTTTTTTCTTTAACTTCGTTATAGATCAAGAGGCCTTGAGAAGCTGATGATATGGCTTTAGTTGGCCTGCGGAGGAACCTTTGTCACTTGTGTGATTTCCAGATACACAGAGCCCTGGCCGTTCTGAGGAGTCAGCCTGTGAGCCACATCCACCAGGCAGTCAGGGAGCATCTGTGCTACTGGTTCTTTGCACTGCGACCAACCCCCTCCAGGGTCAGGTCCCATCACCCCTGCTGGAACAACTTCCACTCTGAAAACGGAAGTAAGACTCAGCCAGCTGGCCAGCTGGTGTCCCCTCGAGTGCACGATTGGGACAGGCTTGAACAAAACATTAAACACGCAGATGAACAGATGTTTTACAGGAGGCTGAACGACTTCACTTCATCGGAAGAAGTGCTGAGTTTTGTAAGCACGCTGGAAACGCTGCCTGACAGTGGGGCAGCGGGAGCTTTACAGCGGATCTGGGAGGTGGGAAAGAAAGATGATGCTGGAAGGCTGCCAGAAGAAATCCTGGACAATCACGTCTTTAAGGCTCTATGCTTTCGGCTGGAACGGGAAGCTCCAACTCTGACAAACACTGGTTTGGTGAGAGCTTTGCAAGCCCTGACTCTGTCACATGTAGATCCTCAGACTAGCTTGTTAGAGAACCTGGTGGCAGAATGCCAGAACCGTCTCCAGAAGGGTGGCCTGGAGGTCCACCATCTTTGTATTCTCGGAGAAAGTCTGGTTAAATTGCAGGGTCCTGGCTGTGTGATGCTAGAACAGATTATAGCTCAACTGCAAGGTGAAGAATTGGAAAAGTTTTCCCCAGAGGATGTCGTGGCCATTTATAGAATACTTCAGGCATGTCCTGAGAAAGTGGACCAACACCAGGCGTTTCTCAGTAAGATCAACAGCTTCACCCTGTCAGTTGTTTACAGCCTGAGTCCTAAGTCCATCAGCCAGGTGCTCAGTGCCCTCGTGGCCCTCGACCAGACGCAGGCGCTTCCTCTGGTTATAAAACTGGGCAAGTACATGGTGAGGTACATCCCTCGCTTCACTAGCGGAGAGCTGGCCAGCGTGTTAGAGGCTTTCATCTACTTTGGGTACAGTGACAGATTTTTCACAAGAGCCCTCGAGCAACACGTAGCTGCACTCTGTCTCGCTTTGAATCCGGAGGTTGTCAGCAAAATCACCAAGTACTGCAGTAAAAAACTGATTTTTTCAAAACCCATCTTGAATGCAGTGGCAGAAAGTTTTGTTTGCCACTCAGAAAAATTCTCACCTCATCAGATTTCTGAGTTAATCGAACCATTTGGCACACTCAATTATTTGCCCCCAAACACCCCTGCTTTATTTAGGAAGCTAGAAACCATGCTGGTCACTCACTTCAATCATTTCCCACCCAAGACGCTACTGAAACTTCTCCATTCGTGTTCGCTGATTGAACGCCATCCAGTCAACTTCATGGCAAAAATTTTTAGCCCTTATTTCCTTCAGCAGCTGCAGGGTGAGTTGGTTATAACTTGTGAGAGGGAAAATTAAAAGTAACAAGTCTGCGCCTTTTACAATGAGCAGCGCTTTCTCTTTATTTCTCTTCCAAAACAGTTTGAATACAGAGATGTGAAGTGGCAGATGCCGTGAGCGCAGGGTCAAGAACGCGAGCACATTCTGTTGAGGGAGGAAAGTGGTTTCCGGTGGACAGACTGCTTCCCTAGCTGAGGAGCTCAGTGTTCTTATGGGGATGTCGTGGCAGCGGTGGTAATACCCACCATGTTACAGTCTCTGATGAGAGGGCAACTGTAACTTTTTATTTCTTATTTTTTGAGAGGATGGTATTGTTCATCTTAATTCAAGGCCTACCAAATCTATCAAATTTCTGAATCTCCATAGTTTAAGGAAATTTTTTGTAATTCCACTAACATGTTTTGTCGCTTTAGATTATATTCTGTAGTTAGGATATTGGGTTCTTAGAAGTCAGTGAGATTTCATTGGTGGTAAATAAGAGGGCATAATTCTAACAAGTTTATTTCCTAGTATCTTATAAAAATACATTACTTCTGGAGTGGATGGTTAATGCTGTACATACATGATGTTCTCTAACTATGCATACCAAAGCTCAAACTGAACTGTGACTGGGATGCTTTTTATTTCAGGTAAAGAACCCTATTTGGACAGGTTGAGTCTGGCCCAACTGACACAGCTTTTCCTAACCTCCATCCTAGAATGCCCTTTCTATAAGGTAAAAAAATAAACATAAAAAAAGGTTTTCTTTTGTCCCCCCGTGAAATCTTTTAAGTTCTTTCTTCCTTTTTTTTAATAGAAAACTATAATCTGTCTATATATGATGTACAGATTAATAACAATTAAGGAAATTAAGGTGTAGGGAGGGGAAAAATTGGCATTCAGTAGCACTTTCTGCCACTGCCATGTATTTCTTTTTTTATTGTGCTTTTAGGTGAAAGTTTACAGCTCAAGTTAATTTCTCATACAAACATTTATACACATATTGTTTCGTGTCATTAGCGGCAATCCCCACAATGTGAGAGCACACTCCCCCTTTCCACTTTGGGTTCCCTATGTCCATTTGACCAGCTCCTGTCCCTTCCTGCCTTCTCATCCTGCTTTTGGACAGGAGCTGCCCATTGGGTCTCGTGTATCTGATTGAACTAAGAGGCACGTTCCTCACGTGTATTACTTTTTGTTTTAGAGTCCTGTCTAATCTTTGTCTGAAGAGTGGGCTTCGGGAATGGTTTCAGTTCTGGGTTAGCAGAGTGTTTGAGGGCCATAGTTACAGAGGCTCCTCTCCTCTCCGTCAGACCATTAAGTCTGGTCTTTTTACATGATTTTGATTTCTCTTGTACGTTTTTCTCCTGCTCTGTCCAGGAGTCTCTGTTGTGTTCCCTGTCAGGGCAGTCACTGGTGGTAGCTGGGCACCATCTTGTTCTCCTGGTCTCAGGCTGGTGGAGTCTCTGGTTCATTTGGTACTTTAGTCCTTTGGGCTAAAATTTTCCTTGTGTCTTTGGTTTTCTTCATTCTCCTTTGCTCCAGGTGGGATGGGACCAATTTATGTATCTTAGATGGCCGCTCACAAGCTTTTAAGACCCCAGACGCCACTCACCAAAGTGGGATGCAGAACATTTTCTTAATGAACTTCGTTATGCCAGTTGACCTAGATGTCCCCTGAAACCATGATCCCCAGGCCCCAGCCTCAGGTACTCTGTCCCTGAGTGTTTGGATGCATCCAGGGAACTTCTGAGCTTTCGATTCAGTCCAGTTGTGCTGATTTCCCATGTATTGTGTATTGTCCTTCCCTTCAGGGAAGTTGATCCTCGTCTACTGTCTAGTTAGTGATTTCCCCTCTCCCTCCCTCCCCACCCTCGTAGCCATCAAAGAATGCTTTTTCCTGTGTTTAAACCTTTCCTTGAGTTCTTGCAATAGTGGTCTCATACAATATTTGTCCTTTTGTGACTAGTTTCACTCAGCATAATGCCCTTCAGATGCATCCACGCCACATTTCGTGCATTCATCATTGTTCTGTACCGTTGCGTAGTATTCCTTTGTGTGTGTGCCATAATTTGTTTATCCATTCGTCTGTTGATGGGCATCTAGGCTGTTTCCATCTTTTTGCTATTGTGAATAGTGTTGAAATGAGCATGGGTGTTCATATGTCTATTCTTATTTCTCTTGGGTATATTCCTAGGAGTGGGATTGCTGGATCGTATGGTATTTCTATTTCTAGCTTTTTAAAGAAGTGCCAAATCATTTTCCAAAGTGGTGGTACCAGTTTACATTCCCACTAGCACTGTGTAAGAGTTCCAATCTCTCCATAACCTCTCCAACATTGTGTTTTTTGGATTAGTGCCAGCCTTGTTGGGGTGAGATGGTATCTTATTGTAGTTTTGATTTGCATTTCTCTGATGGCTAATGACTGTGAGATTTCCTCATGTGTCTGTTAGCTGCCTGAATGTCTTCTTTGGTGAAGTGTCTGTTCATATCCTTTGCCCATTTTTTAACTGGATTATTTGTCTTTTTGTTGTTGAGGTATTATAGTATCTTGTAGATATTAAAGATTAGACCCTTATTAGGTACAGATATGTTGTAGCCAGAAGTTTTTCCCAGTCTGTAGGTTCTAAGTTCCTTCTCTTTTGACCTATCTCAATAACGTCATTAAAAAGCAAAAGTTTCACTTACTTGATACCTACTGCTGTCCAGTCAATTCCGACTCATAGCGACCCCATAGGAGAGTAGAGCTGCCCCATAGAGTTTCCAAGGCTGTAATCTTTACGTAAGCAGACTGCCACATCTTTGTCCCTGGTGGGTTCGAACTGCCGACCTTTCAGTTAGCAGCCGAGCACTGAACCACTGCACCACCAGTGCGCCTTTTACTTGATGATAGTTGCCACAAAATAGCCTTTTCCTTGATAAATTCACCCCATTTCTGTTTTCTTGTCCTAGTAAAACCAATTTCCTGCTGTATGAGATTTCTTAGAAGGTTTTGTCAAGTGCTGAAGGTATAATATTAGTATTTCTGGATTCACTATGAAGGTTTTAGAGGTTGTCGCACCCCTGAAAGCTGTTAGATATGTTGTTAGGTGCTGTCGAGTCAGTTCCGACTCACAGGGACCCTATGTACAACAGACCAAAACACTGCCCAGTCCTGTGCCATCCTCACGTGAGCCCATTGGTGTAGCCTCTGTGTCAATCCATCTCATTGAGCGTCTTCATCTTTTTCATATGCATCAGTTCTTCTGTTTGATATAAAACTGTGAATCTTGGTAATGATCAGATCCTAAATTATTGCTGAGTACATTTTTAATCCAACCAGGAAATGACACTGTTATCTGGTGAGGTGTGGTTTAGGTGGAGATGAACTTGCCACATAAGGTCAAGGTTAGTTTAGGTGGAGGCGAACTTGCCACGTACAGTTTGGGTGGAGGCGAACTTGCCGTATATAGTTTAGTTCAGGTGGAGGCGAACTCTCCGTGTACAGTTTAGGTGGAGGCGAACTTGCCGCGTACGGCTCGGGTGGAGGCGAACTTGCCGCGTACGGTTCGGGTGCAGGCGAACTTTCCGTACGAGGTAAAGTTCAGTTTAGGTGGAGGCCAACTTTCCGTACGAGGTAAAGTTCAGTTTAGGTGGAGGTGAATTTTCCGTATAAGCACTATCAAGATCGATTCTCATAACTACTGCACACCTTGTTTATGGTTAGAAGTAGTCTCACCAGGCTTGGTCCCCCTGACTGGCCCTCCATACTTAACTGTGAGTCACAGTGAAGGGTATCTAATAATAATCAAAGAAGCAGGACTGTATGAAAAATAATGCAGCATTAGGGTTATTGGAAGACACAATAACAACCTGCATCATGCAGATGGCACAACCTTGCTTGCTGGAAGTGAAGAGTACTTGATGCACTTACTAATGGAGATCAAAGTCCACAGCCTTCAGTATGGATTACACCTCAACATAAAGAAAACAAAAATCTTCACAACTGGACCAATAGGCAACATCATGATAAGTGGACAAAAGATTGAAGTTGTGAAGGATTTCATTTTACTTGGATCCACAATCAACACCCATGGAAGCAGCAGTCAGGAAATCAAACGACACATTGCATTGGGCAAATCTGCTGCAAAAGACCTCTTTAAAGTGTTAACAAGCAAACATGTCACCTTGAAGACTAAGGTGCGCCTGACCCAAGACATGGTGTTTTCAATCGCATCATATGCACGTGAAAGCTGGACAACGAATAAAGAAGACTGAAGAAGAATTGATGCCTTTGAATTATTGTGTTGGCAAAGAATATTGAATATACCATGGGCTCCCAGAAGAACGAACAAATCTGTCTTGGAAGAAGTACAGCCAGAACGCTCCTCAGAAGTGAGGATGGGGAGACTTTATCTCACATACTTTGGACATGTTATCAGGAGGGACCAGTCCCTGGAGAAGGACATCATGCTTGGTAAAGTAGAGTGTCAGCAAAAAATAAGAAGACCCTCAATGAGATGGATTGACACAGTGGCTGCAACAACCGACTCAAGCATAGCAACGATCATAAGGATGGTGCAGGACTGGGCAGTGTTTTGTTCTGTTGTCCGTGGGGTCGCTATGAATTGGAACAGACTCGATGGCACCTAGTAACAGCAATAATACAAATACTTTACTAATTTTTAAAAAACACTGTTTTCCTTATTATGTCCAGATTTTTCCTCTAACTTGTATTTATTATAGTCTGTGGTATGTGATAGGAGTTTAAGTTTGTTCTTTTCCGGATGGATAAGCAATTTGCAAGCATAGCTATCCTGTTCTCACTGCATTGAAGTGTCACTTACCATATTTCCATTATTGAAAATTTAGTTGGGTATCCTTAAGGTCCTTAGGGCAATTCTAAGAGTTCCATTTATGTTTCTGGAACGATGACAGCATTGTTGTAATGTTTATTTCTCTATTTTTTATGGTGACTACTTTTAAAACATATTTAAAAGGTACTTTGATCTATTAGACTTGACCTATAATAAGAATATTCTGCATTATCATTTCAAGAAAGATATCTGTCCTGAGTCCTGGAAAAGTATCAAGCCTGTAGAGTAATTTTGTATCTTAGTTTTATGCCCTGGTTTTGTATCTTATTCTTCTTTTTCATGTTTGTGTGTGCAATGTTTAGGGTCCCAGACTTCTTCCTAAATATCAAGTGAAATCGTTTCTTACTCCATGCTGTTCCCTGGAGACCCCTATGGATTTTCAACTTTATAAATCTGTGATGATTGGACTGATTGACCTTCTAGGAGCAAGACTATATTTTGCTTCAAAAGTGTTGACACCCTATTGCTATACACTAGGTAAGTAGTGGGGAGTTTTGCTGTTTACCAGACCTCAGCAGTGCTTTCCTCTTTGGAGATATATATGGACGTATTAGCCATAGAAGTTCTCCAAAATACAGAATGGAATATTCCCTCTCCTGAAGGCAGGTAAGAACAGTAACTAAGCATCGGGGCGCTAGGGTCAAGACTCTGGGTTTGAATCCCAGCTTGCCACATAGCAGCAGAATGTGTTTGACATTTTTCTTCTTGCCTTCTCATCTGTGAAATGAGAGTAAGAACATCAACTTCAAAGACTTGGGAGTACTAAATGGGATACTACAGCATCGTACTAACTGCTTATAATTAACCAAAACCCATTGCCGTCGAGTCGATTCCGACTCATAGTGCCCCTATAGGACAGAGTAGAACTGCCCCATAGGGTTTCCAAGGAGTACCTGGTGGATTTGAACTGCTGACCTTTTGGTTAGCAGCCAGCCTCTTACCCACTAAGTGCTTATAATTAGTACTCAATAAATTTACTGCTATTGTAATCTAGGTCTATGCTCTCCATTATAGAGGCCATAAACCCAAAAATCAAACCCATTGCTGTTCAAGTCAATTCTGACTCATAGCGACCCTATAGGACAAAGTCGAACTGCCCCATAGGGTTTCCAAGGAGCGCCTGGGGGGTTCGAACTGCCGACCTTTTCGTTAGCAGCCATAGCTCTTAACCACTATGCCACCAGGGTTTCCATAGTGGCTATAGGGCTGTTTAACTTACAGTTAAATAAAATTCAAAATTCACTTCCTTAGTCACACATTTCACGTGCTCAGTAGCCGTGTGTGGCCATTGGCTACTCTATTAGCACAGACAGAAGCGTTCCCATCATCTCAGGAGGCCTACTGGGCAGTGCTGACTGGAGAGCCGGGTCCCCCCGCGCAGGGTTTTCTAAGCGATGAGGAAAAGAAAGCCGTCTCGGAGGATTTAAGAGTTGTACAGGCGCAGCGGTCACCCTGCGCACCTCTGCTGTAACGGGCTCTCTTTACGAAGGAATGGCAGAACACCCGGGGGAAGAAGGAGAGTCTGCCCCTGCCATGGACCACACGTCAGATGCAGGATGCCTCCTCTCCCTGGAGCCGATGGGAGCTTGAGTGATGAGCTTTGCAGGTTGCTTAGATGTCTAATTTTGCTTCAACCTGTTGTGAAAGGTGGTCTTCACTATCTGAAGGAGTCTGCCACGTGTAAGGAGAAAGAGAACGTTCTCGTTCTTGTTATACCCCAGATAACCCAAGAACCCCACGGCTTGTTTTACTGTGGCTGAGCCTCCTTAATTTAAGGCTGACTTGGGTAATCGTACAACTGGTTAAATTCTCACCATTGTTTGGTTGTGGTCATTACTTTGCAGCCTTCAGCCCTATTGATAAATGCAGTTTGGAAGAAACCAATACAGAGCAAAGGAGTAAAGGAAGATAGTATTTGTGAGGGTATCACACGAGGACTTTTCCTTTCTTCTCTCACCAGATGTTGAAATTAAATTAGATGAAGAAGGATTTGTCCTACCATTTACAGTCGATGAAGATGTACGGAAAAGGTAAAGAAAACTGTGGTTTCTATGTCATAAAACTTATTTGAGGTTCATAAGCAATGATGTATTTTTCTTTAAAAGGTAAAAAAATAGACATGATTCTGGAAATTAAAGCACTACTTTTCAACATAGAATTTTTGGAAATTCTTTCCAATATTTTATAAACAGCAATATTAGTTGAGTATTTTTTTTTTTTTAACAGATTAAAGTATAACACACTCATTATTTGAAAATGGTATTGGGAATAGCCAAGTTCCAAATAAACTTTGGCAACTAAACATATGTGAATATTTTGTTTTAAAAATTAAGCTTTTTTTTTTCTTTTCTCTTTGATGTTTCAGGGTAGCACTGTGCATTGATGGTCCAAAAAGATTTTGTTTTAATAGCAAAAACTTACTAGGAAAAGAAGCCATTAAACAAAGACACCTACGGCTCCTTGGTTATGAAGTTGTTCAGGTAGAGTGTTCCCGTTTCTTTGTTTCCAAAAGCACATTCCTAATTCAGACTTACTCCATCCAGGGTACTACATGGTCTGCCAGCCCAGTGGACCAAGACTCTTACACCTATACATATCAACTTTGCTAATCAGGCATTTCGGAATACTCAATGTTTTCTTTACAAATCTCTTGACTTGTATTTTGACACAGAGAATTTTCAGACTCTTGGTTTTCCAGGATTGGGGCATGCCTACGTTCTCCACAAGCTGTGCTTCACTCTGCTCTCCGCATTTGTACATCATTGCGTTAATTTCTCCCTGATTTAATGACGGTCCATCTTGCTCATCGCCAGATTAATCTCAGAAACCCTCATTACTCCTGTACTGCTCCCAGGATAAAGCGAAGCTTCCTCTTCATGTTCACATTCTCGGCTCTCCATGGTCTGTGCCGGGCACATGCAGCCCTCTGCTCCAGGCTGAGTGGTCTCCTCCCTCCCCCAGACCCACTCCCTTCTCCTCCCGAGGTGCCTCCACCAGCAGCTCCACCTGAGTATCTGGAGTTCAGTCCCCTTACCCTTGCCGGAAACACCAGCACCTTCTGAGTGCTAGCGCCCCAGTGGTCTTGGCACACGCCTCTGCATACCAGGCTTACTGTTTGTATTTATTTTATATGTTCTTTCGCCAACTAAATTGTAGCTCCTCAAGGACAGCGTTCCTGTTTGAGTCGTATTTAGATAGCCCACTTATTCATTCAGCAAATACTGAGTCCCCATGATGTGCCAGGGGCTGTTCTAGGTGCTGGGATACAGGGCGGATGAGACAGACATGATCCTTGCCCTCGGGGAGCTTCCATTGTTATGGCGGAGGGGATAAACAAGTTAACAAAAAAAAAAACCAGGGCATTACAGATTGTGACGGATAACGGCCCTTTTTTCTCCCCTAATAGATCCCCTATCATGAGATTGAGATGTTAAAATCAAGACTGGAATTGGTGGAATATTTACAAAGAAAACTATTTTCTCAAAACACTGGACTTCATTGGTAACAAGAAGGAATACAGACTTCAAACTCAGAGAATGAAAGAACTTGTGTTTTTATAGGACTATATAAAAAGAAGAATTTAAGGTGTGAATTTTCCGTTTTGCAGAATTATGCTTGTGGACTCCTTCGGGCTGTGGAGCGGACGTGCCGGGTCCTGCATGAATGGGAGGGTCAGTAGTGTTCCTTATGCTGTGTGTGCCAGGGTCAGTGGGTAATTTAACATTAACTTTAATATGGTATCATAGACACTTATTTTTATACATGAAACAGAATGGATCAAGTGCAATAAAGGAACGTACGCATACCACCTGTTGTTCTTAAATGTTTCATCGTGCAGCAATTCTCCGCAAAATGAAAACAGCATGCTCCTTTAGAGACCTTGGTTTCCGCCTCTCGTGAGTACGAGGGAGGCGTTCACTTCCCACTTGCCTGCTCCTGTATTTTGCTCGTGGAAGTGATGTGTGATGTATGCTAAGGGGCCCTGAGAAACGGACTGCAGTGCTGCGGTTACAGAGAGGCGGACCGCAGCGTGGCGGTTATAAGCGTGTATAAATTATAGGAGTCTGCAGAAACAGCCTTTTAGTTAATAATAAAATAATTTGTTAGCGTGGGGGCTTTTTTTTTTTTTAAAAAAAAAAAAAAGGGAAAAAGAAGTGAAAAAAAATAAAAGTTTTTTTTTTTTTTTTTTTTTTTTTGGTGAGGGGAGCTGATTAGAGGGAGAATGAGATGTACGTTGTATTTAGTTCATTGCGGATGCATCTCTCTTGCGTTAGGATCAGGTTGAGATTCCCGGGTAGTCGAAAGGGTTCAGGAGGTCGGGAATGTGGGTTCTACCCCCAACTAGTCCTGTGACCTTGAACAAGGAAACAGAGCCGCTGTGTATTACGCATGCCGTGCTAGGCCGGTCCTGAGCTGCCCTTCACGTAACACACGTGTGATTCTCACTGCCTTGATTTGGGTATTGCTCCCAGTTTTTGCAGATGAGTGGACTAGCTTAGAGAGGACAAACACCCTGCCCCTGATCTCATTCGTCACAGGTGGTGAGTGTGAGATCATGTGTCCTGAGAGCAGGGCAGCACGCGCCACAGTCCAGGCCCCCCGCAGCCTGGGCTTGGCCCTGCTCCATCACGGGCCTGCTCTGTGCCCTCAGTGGGGGAGAGATGAGAACTGAGTGAGCTGATGATATACAAGAGACACTTAGAAAAGTGCCCCTTGCAAAGTAAGCACAGGTCAGCTGGTGTTAGCCTAAATCCCACCATCATGCGGTGCTTTTACCACCTCTTTGGAGCTGTCTCTTTAGAACAGGAAACAGACTAGATGAGCTCTTAAAAAAAAACCAAACCAAACCCATTGCCGTCAAGTGGATTCCGACTCATAGCGACCCTATAAGACAGAGTAGAACTGCCCCATAGGGTTTTCAAGGAGCGCCTGGTGGATTTGAACTGCCAACCTTTTGGCTAGCAGCCGAGCTCTTGACCACCACGCCACCAGGGCTCCAGGTGAGCTGTAAGGTACCATGAAAGTGTTTGCCCGTCAGAGAAGGAGGAGGCCTGGAGGCAAATCGAGACTGAACAGGAGACTGCTGGCCGGGGACTCAGCTTATGGGATCTCACAGCCCCCCAGACAGGCATCCTCAACTTGGGTCTAAGATCTCTAGATCATGTCTGTCTCAGAAGCCCCTTTATGAGGATTTTCTTGCCAAAATCAAGTCCAGTGTCACGTTCTGCCTTCTGTAAGTTCCTTGCCTCTGTCCAGCCCCCATTACGGCTCCTTTCCAACCTCGAGTCCCCATCACTCCGCTCATCCTTGGGGGAGAAAGGAAACCCTGAGTGTGGGTGGTGAGCCAAACAGCCTACTGATTAAACACTCACACAACAGGCCGGGGCGGCCGGGGCCAATACCATGAAGTGCCATCCAGCCTACAAGGTTCCTCCCCAACCTGCTCTACTGTCAGACTTCCCTCCATCACGGCCTTCCTGCTGCTCACCCTCACCGGGATCAGACGGTCTTCCCTCTGGGCCCGAAGTTCATCCCCTTTTGAGCCTTTGGCCTCTTCCTGCCCATGTCAGCCACCCCCATGGCGGGCCCAGGCTGAGCGCTGGAGCTCAGGGGTGAGAATCAGACACCCCCATGGCAGGCCCAGGCTGAGCACCACAGCTCGGGGGTGAGAATCAGACACCCTCATGGCAGGCCCAGGCTGAGCGCTGGAGCTCAGGGGTGAGAATCAGATACCCCCATGGTGGGCACAGGCTGAGCGCTACAGCTCAGAGGTGAGAATCAGACACCCCCATGGCGGGCCCAGGCTGAGCGCTGGAGCTC